GCTTAGGAACTTCTGGCGGATACGGGAGTCTCACAAGGCATCTTAAATCCGCCCATCTTGTGGAGTATGCGAAAATAGACAAGGGCAAGGGGAAGCAAACACAAATATCGAGGTTTGCAAATTCTCAACCCTTTGGTAATTTCTCCTATGATGATCAAAAACATTTGACTGGTATGTCTCATTTAATTGTTGAAGAAAATTTACCCTATATTTTTTCCGAAAGTCTTGCTTTAAGAGATTATGCTCAAGGCACTTTAAATCCTCAATTTAGAAATTATAGTCGCAAAACGATTAAAAAAGAAGTTATAAGGCAATATAACTTCGAAAAAGAAAATTTACAAACATTTTTCGCAAACTTTAATGGACGTGTTAGTATTTGTAGCGATATATGGGAGGATACTTATCATCATTTATATTATTTTTCGCATAAACGTGTTCTTGCTTTTCGTGAATTCAATGATCGTCATACTGCTGATAATATTTATATTCTCATTGAGCGTATTTTAATTGAGTATAATTTGCTTGATAAGGTGTTTGCTGTAGGTTTTGATAATGCTAGTAATAATACTGCTGCTATACCTAGATTGCGTGAATTGTGTGGTGCTTCTACATTGATGGGTAGGTTTTTTCATCAACGTTGTGCATGTCATATTCTAAATTTGTGTGTACAAGATGGATTAGCGGCATTAGGAAATGCTTTGGAGGTAGTGAAGGGGGGAATTAAATTGATTTGGGCTAACACTCCACTAAAAATGCAATGGCGACAATATTTGAAGGAAAGACGTGTCAATTATTGTGCTTTTCCTAAAGATTTGTCTATTCGTTGGAATAGTACTTATAACTTAATTCAAGTACTTATTAGATATAAAGAACATTTTCCTGCTTTTTTAAGACAAACTTGTAACTATATTATAAACCCGGCTGACATCGACACTTGTGAAAAAATTGTTAATGTTTTGGTATATTTTAATAACGCAACTCAAACTTTTAGTCATGTTTATAAACCTACCGCAAACGAATTTTTTGTTGAAGCTGTTAATCTCGCCGGCGCATTTTTAGAATTTTCCGATGCCGCTTACGTTAGTTATTTTTGTGATTTCATGAAACAAAAATTTTTAAAATATTATTCACATGTTCCGCATATATATGGTATTGCATTTGTTCTTGATCCTCGTTATAGACTTGCCGCGTTGCCAAGTTGTATAGATTACTATTATAATTGTTTTTTTCCAACTCAAGAGTTCGATGATAATCCCATCGACCCTAAACAAGAATACAACGAGGTTAGTAATTTATTTCATCAATTGTATAATGAATTTTATGCACAATATGGTAATGCACCCCCTCCCATGCCGCGAACATCTTCTTCATCTAAAGGAAAATCACTTTTAAAATCTGCATTTGGTTCTCTTATGAAAAAAAGTAGAGCAACTCCCGCTACTGAACAAAGCTCAGTTAACGAGCTTTCTATCTATCTAACATTGAATGTTGATTATGAAGTTGGGGATGATTTTGACGTTCTTAAGTGGTGGAAGGACAATGAAAGAACGTTCCCGGTTTTATCAAAACTGGCTAAGCAAGTGCTAGCAATGCCGATATCAACAGTTGCCGTGGAACAAGAATTTAGTGCGGCCGGCAACGTCCTAACTGATTATAGAACGAGGTTGAGCCCGAGCTCTCTTGAGACGCTAGTTTGCTTCCATGATTGGTTGAAGGCCAAACGAAGAACTCAAGAAATGACCATCGCTCCCACCCGCCACTTTATGGAGGAAACAACCACCGAAGGCGGAGATTCCGATTGATTTTTTATTTCAAAATGTATTACATATTTTAAATGCATCCTAATTCTCAATTGTACTTCTTATTTGAAATAAATATACTTGAATTATTTTATATTATTGTGTACATCAATTCAATAATTCAATTCAATAAAATTCATTTGTAAACTTGTACTTCATATGTAGCACTTCTCAAATTAATTAATTGGTTACAATTTTACAAACTTATAACTTACAACTTGAAATTATTTTTGTAAAATCTAAAGGCTGTTTTTAAATTAAAATATGTAATATTAATATGTAAATTAATTAATTTGTTACAAACTTACAAGTTACAACTTATACACCTATTTTGTAACATTTGTAAATTATAAATCAAATCACTTTTCTAAGTAAAAATAGTTTTACTTAATTAAAAAATTAAAAACATTTTCCTTACACAATATGTATAATTTTGTAAATCATATCACTTTCCTTACACTTTTCTAAATCAAATCACTTTTCTAAGTAAATTATACACAATATGTATAATTTTCAAAAAAGAAAATTAAAACATTTTGAAGTGGGAGATTGCTCCCAAACGGCTATATAGCCGTTGGGGCTTAGGGTGGGGGGGGTGGGGGGGTCGCGGGGGGTGGTGGGGTGGGGGTGGGGTTCAAAAAAATCTATAAATACATCTATTTTCTACCATTTTCTACACCTCTTCTCCAACTCTTCTCCATCTTCATCTTCTCTTATTATCCTACATTTCTACTTATACATCTACCATTTTAAAGATGGAAAGTAATTCTTCTGTTATGCAAAACAACTTTGACAAGTGGAAGGATCCGAAGACCGGACTGTGGTGGGCAACTTGCAAGTGGTGCAATAAAGAGTGTTGCTTGGGGCGTTCACACGGAGTCGGGATGCCAATGAAACATATGAAGTCATGTGACAAAGGTAAAACAACAACCAACGGTGGCGGAAATCCCAATTGATATTTATTCGAAAATGTATTTCATATTGTTATTTTTTCCTCAATTCTCAAATGTACTTCCTATTTCAAATAAATGCACTTGAATTTTGTTTTTCATAACAATTATTATAATTATATAGTATAGAATAAAAAAAAAACGAAAAGGACCGACCCGAACCGGGCCCGGCCCGTGAACCGGGCGGGCCACCCGGCCCGAACCGGACCCGGGGTTACCCGGGCCGGTTCCGGGCCTCCCAAACCGTGAACCGAGGCCCGGCCGGTTCAAGGCCCGAACCGGGCCCGGCCCGGTTCGGGCCCGGCCCGAATCGAGTCCATGCCTAGGTCAGAGTGGTCAGCTGACCCCCTGAAAGTTTGAGAAATGAGAATATATAGCACTTAATACCATTGATTTAATATATTATGACTCTTGTTACTCATTATGAGTAATCATTTTCTGGCTCTGCCACCGTTTAATTGCTTCTTCGAATACGCCTAGGAATTGATTTAGAAGTCAAAGCCAAAACGATAGAGAAATATTGTACTCTGTATTATCTCTATTGCAAGAGCTGTTCAAAACGTCACAATGATTTCTTCGAGGGTATTTATAGCTACAAACGTTGATATAAAACCAGTGAGGCAGTGAGTGATCTATACGTGTCTAAGCTCATAGGTAGATGTTCGACCTATCGAGCAGTGACAAGTGTTGGCCCCCAAGCGTGTCATAAGCCCGACATATCCGGTGGGTGACGAATGTCGAGGCCCTGTGCTAACCTGGGAGAGATGGCATAATCGGTCAGCTAACTCATAAGATTGTGGTGACTTTGGCCTTGGGTGGTTAAAGCCGGAGGTCAGGGGCGGAGCTAGGGCACTGGGCCGGACTGGACCGGTACAAAGAATATTTTTAGAAAAAATTTTACACGAGATTTTTTACCTTAAAAATTAAGCTATTTTTAAAATTTGGGGTGGGCCTAAGTTGGCCCACCCCTAGCTCCGCCCAAGCCGGAGGTTACGAAATGTGCGTAACCTTCTGTTTTCTATATGTATTGGCCCTGCAAATGTTGTGTGCATTTGATATCGAAGTAGTCATGTAGATTTTTATGTACTAAATGAAAACTTTAAAATATTGCTTAGATAGATCAGGTATTCTAAGTCTAAACTAAATGAACTTTCTATTATTCCTTATTCTAATCAAGGTATTAATAACTTTCATATTCATGAAAAAAATTAAAATTAAACTACTTTCAGATTTTTTCTCTGTAAATACGAAGTACGGAGTATATCACAACTTAAATTAAGTATTTGCTAGATCATAGAAACCCTAATCAAAAGAGAGTTTTTGTAGGCAATGAAAGTCCAACGATATACTAATGGTTAAAAGTCAAAAGTGTAGCCTTATACATCAATCAATTTTTATAGCTACAATTATCGACTTAAGTTAATAGTCAAAAGTAGACACAGATTTTAGCCTTAGTATTACATGACACAACATAATTATACAACAATGTATTACCTATTTCAAACACACAAACGTACTTTGAAATACAAACTTATCAAACATCTTCAAAAAATATGTGACCAACACCTTTTCATGGAGTGTTTCAGAGAACATTATTGAAAGAAAGTTTTCCATTGACGTAACATGAAGCATAGAAGAAATAAATAGTTGTCAATACTAAACTTAACAACGTATTATTATTATTATTATTATAATACATACTCTGATAAATAGCCATTTAGTACATCACATGATCATAAATACCTAACGTGATGAAAAGATTTCCATGAACCTATCATCCTGTAAGGAACATAAGATGTCTATGCTAAATGCAACTTTAACTTCATACATAATCAGCCAGTTGTGATATTTAATTACTCAAGTACCTGACTCAAGATCTTCTAAGAGCATGTGACGAAACTCATTTTGTTTGCGCCAAACCTAAGAATCAAGTTAAGGTGCTAAAAAGACTTATTATTGACCATGGTTTGCATTTGGGTGATTGGTACAACACCAAGTTTTCTGCTAGAATAATAAGAAATTGGATAAAAATATAAAATCTAAATTCTAAATATATATGTTGGAAAATTTCCTCAATAATAGAGGGTTGGGTTTTCATGCCAGCTTACAGCTGAGAGTCAAGTTAAGGTGCTAAAAAGACTTATTATTGACCATGGTTTGCATTTGGGTGATTGGTACAACACCAAGTTTTCTGCTAGAATAATAAGAAATCGGATAAAAATATAAAATCTAAATTCTAAATATATATGTTGGAAAATTTCCTCAATAATAGAGGGTTGGATTTTCATGCCAGCTTACAGCTGAGAGTCAAAAGCACAAATAATTTCACACTTCACGTTAATGTATTAAATCAACCACTAAGCTTCGGGCTTATCTAACAGCCTGTTATCCTAGATATGAAAGTAACTAAGCCATACTGCCGTTTTACCATCAAATGTGTAGGCAATCAATTTAAAGTTTCTAAAAATGGCTACACATTTTAGGATTTGGATCCATTGAAAAATTTAAGTAGCCTTACTTAACCATAGTTGATCTCCGGTCTCTCTTCAGAAGTGTGCTTTCCAGCTTCAATCATCAGTTGTTCAATGTATTTCTTTTCTTCATGGATGCCCTTCTTCTCAAGTTCTTGAACAAGTTTCTTGTGCATGGTTTCTGTTGGCAAAATCCCTTTCTGAACTGATTGCTCAAAGAAGGAGCAAGCACGCTTGTGTTTCCCACTCCTACAAAGCCCACTAATTAAAAGAGCATATGTCCCAAGATCCAAGCTGACATCATTCTGGTGCATGTGGTCTATCAGAAAAGACAAAACTTTCATTCTTTTTAGTTTGCAACACATCTTCAACAAAGGTGCATATGTGTCAAGGTCAGGCTTGCATTGACACTCTTCCATTTTCTTGAGTAATTTGAGTGCCTCCTCTTCTTTCAAGCTCTTGGCAGCATGACGGATCATCACATTGAACATCTGCAAGTTAGGAGTTATTCCTTGTTTGGCCATGTCCTCGAATACATCAGTGGAACCACCGAGTCTTCCAGAGCTATATAGGATGCTAATCAGAATCCCATAAGCATGGGCATCAAGAAGACTATTTTCCTTCATTTTCTCATATATCTCTAGAGCCTTATTGTGCTCCTTAGCAAGTCCATAGGCTTTCATGACTATTGAATATGTAACTACATTTGGAGGGCACCCCTTCCTTTGCATTTCATCTAAGGTGGCTTCAACTTTGCGAAAATCTTTTTCACGACCATAAGCTTCAATAAGGCAAGTGTAAGTGACGGAGTCAGGAGAGAAATCATGCCTCACCATATCTTGGATGGTTCTCTTGGCTTTCTCTATGTCGTTAATTTTGCACCATCCGTGGACTAACATATTGAATGTGGTTAGATTTGGGGATGCATGAAGTTTTTCTTGTAAATAAACATCATAAGCACGTTCCACACTTCCACCCTTCGCCAATGCATCAATTAATATATTCACCATATTTGTATCCTTAGGAACTCCAAATTGCTCAAATCTTGGAATTGCCCCTATTGCATCATCATACTGACCAGCCTTTGCAAGCCTTCTAATGACTACAGTGACGGTTTCCAATGTGATACCATAAAGAACACTCATTTCTTCCACAACTTCCCACATCACAACAAAGTTCCTTGCCTTCCCCAGGTTATCAATAAGCAAATTGTACAAATAACGAGGGAGCTTGAAGTTTGATTGCAGCTTTACCCATTTAAAAAATCCATATAATTTTATCCACTCAAAGCTGAATCTTTTCAAAATTTTCTCCACAAGTTCCTCAGACACATCAACACTGAAGACATCTAATGCTTGAACAACATCATCTGGAGACTTAAAATGATTCTTTAAAGTCTCTGATATTTTATCAACATCAGTGACAGCATCATTTTTTAAACCATCGGCATCACTTTCTTGTCTACTGGGATTATCCTTTTCAATCCAATCCCACAATGAAGGTAATACAAAATCATCATCATCATCCTCAGTCATGCCAGAAACACCCTGTTTTGTTTTATCAGGAAATTTGACCCAACCTGGAAGATCTGGAGACTCAGTTGTCTTAGGCAGGTCATCAACTTCACTCATCCCTGTCAGTGTGCATAATCTGTTGGAAAAGAATGCATCCCCTTCACTGAAGTAGTAATAATTGTTTCTAAAGATGTTCAAATTTCCTCTGCTCCCAGAACGCCAGAGTTGCTGGAAATGCTTCAGCTTCAACATCGTTTTTGAGAAACCTCACAGGAGCAAATCAATGAGTAGCAAGCGGAGTGAGGGCTGAGATTTGAAAGAAGTCGGCACTCGTTCGATAATAACCGGTGATGTACGCTCGGATCTGTTTGCCACTGTAGACCATTGGGCGGCGCTTGTTTCCGATATTTCTAAGTTCCAACCCCAGGATTGCTTCACCTGTAACTCTTTGTTCACCCTACATTTGGCTAATAATTAGTTGTGCTTTCAAAAATTTGGGAAAACTTTGGTCACCTTACTTCTGTAATAAAGTCAATTAGGTCTAATTTTAAAAAACTCAATCAAATCCCTAACGATGTAGCACATTTGCATGTTACTTGCCATGTCAGCGGGTCACCCGCTGACGTGACGCAAATATGGCGGTCCATGTGTGCGTCACGTCATCAACAAAGAGCTGACTGGACTTCCACATGTGTGCCACGTTAGTAAAACTATTGCTGATTGGGATGCCACATCTGCGCCACGTCAGCGAGTGACTTGATGACATGACAAGTAACCTGCAAATGCACTCAATTGAACGTTTTTACAAAGTTCGAAGATTTAATTGATTTTTTTTAAAAGTACGAGGATCCAATTGACTTTTTCATGAAAGTACGAGGACCAAATGTATAGTTTTTAAGTTCTTAAAAGTTTTTTTTTTTTATTTATGCCCACATTTCTTTAAATAATTTGCAGCCAGTTATTGACATATATAAGGAATAGAGGTTGTTTAACACGGAAGATTTTAAATTTGGTATGATATACCGAAAATTTCCGCCTATATCAAAAAGTGTATAACTCCGGACTCAAAACGGGGAGTTGCGGCTCTAACGGCTTTTGGAAAACCTAGGCAGTCGTCATTCTCCCTTCACCGATTGAGAATTCGAAGACGTCTTCTGCTTCGACTTCATGAGACGCGACAAGCTCGGACTTCTGCGGAGGAGATGAAGACTATGGCAATTGATATTTCGTCGGTCAAAGAGGAGGAGGATTGCATCGTCCTGGATTTGTGTTCTGTCTCTAGGGTTTCACCGCTAGAGTTTTATTTGTCTGCTATCGTCTTTTGGCGAGGAGCGGTGCCGGCTTCCGGCAATTCGTTCATGGATAGGGAGATTCGGCTGGAGGCGACTCAAAGGCCGATCAAGGCGATGAAGGAAGAAGATGAAGTGAAGGCGATCTGACCCCCTCCTGAACCGCCGCCGGTGGTTTTTGGAAAGCTGAGGGAAGAAATTTATTTTTTTGCTTTTATTTATTTTAATGGTCTGATTTTGTGTGTGTTTGTTTGTTGTTTTATCTCTTTCGATTGTAAGACTATGGATTTGAGTTTGGATGTGGGTGATGATCTAACTGCGATTATCGTCACTGGCTTAGTTGTGCCCACAAATGGATCAACGAGTTATATTACCGAGGTGATAAACTTTGATCAGTTTGGTTCGCGGGACGGCGGTTTTCATAAATTTTATTGTCATTTTACCTACTCTCTGAATGGTTTGATATCAATGTAAGCCGCTTTCATCCCAAAAAAAGTGTATAGAAATCTCAGTATGAGAAAATGATACTATTACGGTACTAAAAACTTCGGTATACCGAAACTCAATATACCGCAATTTTGGCATGACAGACAACACACTTGCCGTTTCATACAAAAAATATGAGTATTTTAATTCACAATTCGGGTCAATAGAACATCACATTGAAAAAATGACATGCAAATACCAATATACCAAAATTAAATTATTTTACATTGTTAAATTTTACCAAGCTTACAATTGTGGTAGAGAATTATTAGTGGACAAAAGTGTGACTTATTAACTATTAATGACTATGATTGTGTTCAAATATTACTTTGTAGTGACTACCATGCCGTGTTCTAAAAGGCGGCAAAAGGCATGAGGTAGCGAGAAAACACCTTTCATAGTAGAAAGGCGTGGAATAGGCCCAACAGAACAGTTGATCACCAAAGGCGTGAAAAAAATGCAAGTCTAGGCACGCCTAGGCGTGAAAAGGATGAAGCTTTTTAGATGAAATATTTTTTATACATTTAAAAACTACTACGTATATATATTGAAAAATCAACAATGTAAGAGTTAGGCTCGATCTCAAATAATATATTTTATGCATTTATTTTTTCTTCAAATATATAACTATAAAATACTACGTAGTAATTATCAATACAAATTTAAAACATCTTTTCATGCCTAGGCTCTGCCTATTCCAACCTAAGCTTCAAAGGGTTCAGGCTTGGCGTTGACGCCTTGCCACGTCTCATGTCTTTTAGAACACTGTTACCATGTAATCACTATAATGTAAACTTTGAATACAATTATAATTACTAGTGATTACTAAGTCATATTTTCTACTTTTTATCTTCTTTTTCATGTTTTTCCACCATCTCTCCTACTTTTTCTACACTATTCATTACCCCTACTATTTTACTCTTAAAAAATGTGTCAACAACTATTGTAGCAAACAAAAAAATACTGAGGGAGTATAAGATTTTGGATTATTCTTTGTATCAAATTGACTTTTTAAGTCGGCCAATGGGGTCCTTGTCCAATATATACTTATTTTACTCTCTTCGTCCCAAAACTTTGTCAAGTTTGACCGGCACGAAGATTAATAAAGTAAAAACTGTGTGGTTGAGACTTGTGCAGAAGAGAGAGAATTAACTGGAATTACAAATTCTTTATTTAAAAGGGAAAGCGGCAAAGTTAGTGAGACATCCAAAAAAGAAAAGTTGGCAAAGTTTTAAGCGACGGAGGTAGTATGCGATTTTCCATTGATTCGAAACCGCATAGTACCTCCTATTTGATACCAGAGTCATGGTTTGACTCTCCCAACTTACATGGTGAAACTCTAATCTTATCTTAACTCAAATTGAAACTCTATTGTAACTCATTAAAAAAATCTCAAAACATTTTACACACTCCACATTACATTAAATTAAAATTTCATAAATATAATTATGAATTCTACATTACATTCAATTAAAGTTTCATGAATAAAATTATGAATTATGGAATGTTTTGTTATGTTTGATTAGAATCCAACAAAGTTTTAATTTATACATATAAAAAAAATGAAACACTCATAGTTCAAATTTAGATCAAATCAAATTTAAGCAGATCAGACCAGTTCACACCAAAACAATTCATTTCAATTGAAACCAAATTTAGACTTCCATATTACAAATAAGACTAATAAAGATGTTTTTAATTAGACTCAACGTAACCCTTATCCTATACATAAAAAGCAATACAAGTTTTATTACCCATTCTCCAGCCTAAAGCATTAGACATCTCAGCCTTTCGTCAAATTAGAATATGACCCGTCCCTCAAAGTCACATATCTCAACCCAGTCATCTTGTCGTTCATCCAGAGCACACTTCACCATGACAATAAAAAAAAAGAGGAAAATTCTTAAGGCACACCTTGGGTTACACCCTGGGGTACACCCCATTTATTTGCCCTTCACACAGACAAAAAACGTAAAAACACAGACACTTTCGATTAAACTGTCGGTGTGAGTTTGCAGATCTGTCAGGCTGGTTGCACGCAAACCAATGTCGGTGTGCACAGACACTAGTTCTCTGTGTAGACAAAAAGTGTCGGTGCGAACAAAGTTGGTTTGCAAGTTCAGGGGGTGGGAAACTAGTGTCGGTGTACACAGACATTAGTTGTCTGTGTAGAAAAAAGTGTCTGTACATATACAATTTTCGTCGGTTTTCTTTCCTTCTCTCTTTTTACGTTTTATACACACCGACACTGATTTGCTTTCAGTGTCTGTGTACACCGACGAAAATTGTATATGCAAACACTTTTGTTTCTACACAGACAACTAATGTCTGTGTACATCGACGAAAATTGCATATGTACAGAAACTTTTTTCTATACCGACAACTAATGTCTGTGTACACCAACACTGGTTTCCCAACCCCCTGAACTTGCAAACCAATTTTGTTCGCACCGACAATTTTTTGTCTACATAGAGAATTAGTGTCTATGCACATTGACATTGGTTTGCGTGCAACTAGCCTGGCAGATCTGCAAACTCACACCGACAGTTTAATTGAAAGTGTCCGTGTTTTCATGGTTTTTGTCTAAGTGAAAGGCAAATAAATGGGGTGTACCCCAGGGTGTAACCTGTACACCAAGAAGGATTCAAAAAAAGATGCCCGGTCAGAGCTCATATCTCTCTTCCATGGTAATTATTCGTTGAGAGCTCGTGTCTCTCTTCCACGATAGACAGGTGTCACTATCATTGGTAACAGTTGCGGTAATGGTAGTGGCTCCAAGGTGAATCAGTTAGTGATGTGGGGCGTCACTAATTACTTGTTATTAAAATATAATACTAAAATAATAAATGTTATAACCCTTCTAATTCTATTGTTTTATATCGTAAAATTGAGCTAAAAATCAATGATATATCAACTTTCTATTGGATAATAAAAACACTGACATCACGACTAAATTAAATTAATGAATTTATTCACGGCTCATCGATATTCTTCACTCCTTACAATTGTGCATCATTAATTAATGAAGGAGAAAAAATCTCTTACTTTTAAAAATGATATACTACGTAACTTTTGTTTTTTACTCCAACTTTTACTAAAAATATATCAAAATTTATAACTTCTTATGATCTTTGATATGACACCAATATTGTACATATAAAAATAAAAAATATTATATACTCCGTATTTTTTATACAGTAAAAATAAGTTAAACATCTATTGATTAATAAAAATTCTATTATCATTACTACTAAAATATTTACTCATTTAAGTTGATTTGGTTCATCATTACTACTACCTCCGTCCCAAATTGATTTGCAGATTTGGCTTTTCTTTATTGTAGGGGTATTAGGGTTCGCCCCAAAACCCCGACCCAGAATATCCTTAAAGCCCAATAGAAGAAGCGGAGCCCAAGGGATGCTAAGTAGAGCAGTAGATTCTCAAACGGGTTCTTGCCAACTGGGTATGTACCAATCGAGACTAGGGCTGGGTCCGAAAAACTGAAAATCGAATCAAATCATACCGAACTGTAACTAAATAAAACCGTACCGCTAACAAACCGAAACCGAATGTAAAAAACCGAACCGAACCGTAGTTGTTTGGTTCGATTTTGATTTTTACTCTTCAAAACCGAACTGAACCGAACAGACGGAGCTAATTAAAATATAAAATTTATTTGTCAATTGTTAAGCATTAATCCTAACAAA